CTCAGGAAAGTTTAATAGATACCTCGAGGGACAAGAAAACCAGACAGGGCTCTCAGGAAAGTTTAATAGATACCAGGAGAGACAAAAAAACCAGACAGGGCTCTCTGGGAAGTTCAATAGGTACTGGGAGAAAGAAGAAAATCAGACACAGCTCTCAGAATGCCACGTTAGCAAAAAGTAAGAAAAACAGACAGAGGCGTCCAGAAATTACAACAATAAGAAATAAGAGAACCAAATGTGGTGTACAGGAAGCCTCAGACCTGAGCGATAAACAAGCTGATAAGGATACTCAGCAAACTGCAGCAGACCACGAGAGAACCACATATCCACCTGAAAAGCCAAAAGTCTGTCTAAACACCCTGAAACCATTGTTGGTGCTGAGACATCAGGTAAAGACCAACTTGCTGGGGAAATGAACACAAGGCAGGATCCATTTTCCAATTTCTGCAAGATCTGTAGACATAAACATAGAATAATAATCTCAGGACACAGAATCATTATCACAATGTCAACTATCCCCAAACAAACTGGCAAGAAGAGAACAAGGCAATTGAGTTTTACATTGTCTACAGAACTCCTATCTTACCCAATATACAGTCATAGCCATACTGCACAGAAACAGACCCTTCCCTCCAACTCATCCACACTGACCAAATATCCCAATCTGACCTCGTCCCATTTGCCACCATTTGGCCCATATCCCTCTAAACCCTTCCTATTCATGTACCCATCCAGATGCCTTTTAAATGTTGTAACTGTACCAGCCTCCACTACTTCCTCTGGAAGCTCATTCCATACACACACCACCCTCTACATGAAAAAGTTAGCCTTAAGATCCTTTTTAAATCTTTCCCCTCCCACCTTAAACCTATGCCCTCTAGTTTTGGACTGCGCCCACCCTGGGACAAAGACCTTGGCTATTCACCCTATCCATGCCCCTTGTGCTTTTATAAACTTATATGTAAGAAGCCAATCAAGAAACAAATCACTGCTGGTTCTAGTGACATAGGGAGATGGCCAGAACAGATAGAGAAGTGTAGTTTAGCAATTAGACAACAACAATCACTTCGTAATAATCTGGACCTTGAGGTCAGTGGTGACTGAACATTGCTCGCTGATGACCTCAAAGGAAGCTGCCTATAAAGATCTAGTGATTTCCATGACATGCACTTACAATTCTTGAAATTAGTCTGAATCTGCCACCACATGAAGGGAATCTCCAGGCATCCATCAACAGGGATGCTTTCAAATAGGGTAAACAGCCAATCAATTTGAAGTATTCTTATATTCAGCAAATGAGGAAGTAAAATCCATTTATGATCCTTCACTTTTAACTAAATTTTATGATTCTTCTTCAGAGTCTTATCAGTTTCAAAACATCAACTCTGTTTCTGCCTGCACAGATGCTGCCAGACCTGCTGAGTTCCTCCAACATTTTCTTTTTTAAGATTTTCAGCATCTGCAGTATCTTGCTTTTATTTTTATAAATGTAGATTTTTTTCATTATGATTGAGAAATTTGATGTTCCACAAACATTAACTTAGTCTTTATGGTCAGCAAGGATGCTCAGCTCTAATTATGAAACTTCTGCACTGTTAAAAATAAAACACGGTTACATCTCTTTACCAAAGTGTAACTTTTTCAAAAGTATTTTGTAGCAAGACAAATAATATAAAAAGGCAAAGTCTTGTCAGTCCAGGGATTTTTACTGATAGTAGTTCACAGTTTCAGTATAGAATCACTAACAGCATCTTCTGGATTTCCTATTTCGCTCTGTCAGTCTCAGAGGTGTACTGATGGTAAACATTGACTGTTTAACTCACATTATTAACACAATATCCAAGTTTATAATGTTTAAGATAATGATTGAGAATAGATACAAATAAAACATATATAAGTAAAAAATTAGAATAAATTACACTTTTCAAGAGGATGAAATTGGAATAAGGGAAGCTAAACTGGGCCCAGAAATATTAAACAGCAGCAGGAAACACAATCAACAGTCTGGGATAAATATGTTCCTCGGGATAGATAAAGTGAATAGCAAAGGTCTTTTCCCAAGGGTAGGGCAGTTCAAAACTAGAGGGCATAATTTTAAGGTGAGAAGGGAAGGATTTAAAAGGTACCTGAGGGGCAATTTTTTTCACACAGAGGGTGGTGCGTATGTGGAACGAACTGCTAGAGGAAGTGGTAGATGCAGATACAGTTACAACATTTCAAAGACATTTGGACAGGTATGTGAATAGGAAAGGTTTAGAGGTATATGGGCCAAATACAGGCAAATGGGACTAGTTTAATTTGGGAAACTTGGTCGGCATGGACTCATTGGACTCAAGGGTCTGTTTCTGTGCTGTATAACTCTATGACTCTATTGTCCATTAAAAGACAAAAATAAACCAGTTCCTAATGATATTTCATGGATTGATATATCCTGTATGAATAAAGAGATAGAGGCTAACCTAGGAAAAAGAAAAATATATGCTAAGAACATTCATTGAAGATGACAAAAAGATCAGGAAATAAACTTTAAAAATAGAAAAATCAAGAGGAACTTTGAAATCAAACGATCTGAGAATATGAAAAGAAATCATATTTTGCAGACACATAGTTAACACAAGGAACTAAGAGAGGAATTGAATGAGCCCATTAAAGATTGCACAAGATAAACTCACAGTTAATGACAGCAAAATGTTAGAAATATCAAATAATTACTTTGCTTATTTATCAACGAGACTAACATTGTGGACATGCCATTTTTTAAAAAAAAGTATAGAGCTAGGTGGAGTGAGAATTTTTGTTTGAGGAAATAATTGCTAAACTAGTCAAAGTTGAATAAATCATCTAGTCCCAATGGATCATAGCCAAGTTTTTTATTATTATTTACACATGGGACATGGAAATCGCTGGCTGGCCAGGATTTAATGCCCATCCTAGTTGACCTTGAGAAGGTTGGCGGATAGCTGCCTTCTTGAACTGTTACAGGAATGAGATAGCAAAGATGCCAACATATTGAAAAGGGAATTATGTCAGAGATCAGTAAATGGCTAATTTTATTCCTATATTTAAAACAGGAGATAGAACAAATCATTTACCAGTTTGTTTCATGTTGATGGTAGGAAAGATAATGGAGGCTTCACTTAAAAAATGTAAAAGGTAAGTATCAAATAAACAAAATTATAATAAAAAGTTCTCAGCGCAAATCAAAAAGGAGGAAGATGCTTGATTGACCTTTTTGAATTCTTTGAAGAAGTCACTGAAAAAGTAGACAAATGGGAGCACTTTTGGATTTTGAATGGCTGAGACTCATAACTAAGGTTAGAACACAAGGGACCAGGCATTCCACTCAAATCCAGGAATTTAACTACAAACATGTTATAGTTTCAAGTTGTCCTTAGCCTCACTAGTGTCAGGAAAAGGAACAAGTTACAACTTTAGAACACTGTTCATGACCAGTTAGCATCTCAAAGTTCCTTGCAGTCAATTAAGTACTTTTTATGAAGGCTAGTGCTGTCACTGTTGTAATGTTTTAAAAAAAGAAGTGCTGCCCAATTTAAGCAAGATCCCACAATCAGTAATGCCACAATACTATTTTCTGATTTTGGGAATAAATTTTTGTCAAAGCACCAGGAATGACTCTGTTGCCGTTGGGATTTTTTGGCAGCTGCCTGAGATGACAGATAGAGCCTCAGTTTAATATCTCATTTAACACTGTAACAGAGCAGCTCACCCTCAATACTGCATGAAGTTACTGCCTAGATTTCTTGCAATGAAGTCCTGAAGTAGAACTTGAACTCAGAGCCTTCACGTTGAGAGATGAGAAATCTACCTCAGGACCTCTGTGGTTTCATTTAGTGTAACATGGCATTAAGTGACTTTCAGCTATGTAATAACAAGGCTGCCTCAATCCCATTACTCAATATTACACTAAGGATACACAACACACTCACCAGCACTTAGAATCATGGAGCCACAGAGGACTACAGCACAGAAAAAAGCCTTTCAGTCCATTGAGTCTGTACCAGTCAAAAACAAGCACCTAACTATTCTAATCCCATTTTCCAGCACTTTGCCCAAAGTCTTGTCTGCCTTGTCAGAAGTCACACGACACCAGGTTTTAGTCCAACAGGTTTATTTGAAGTCACAAGCTTTCAGAGCGCTGCTCCTTCGTCAGATGAGGTGATCTGACTTCACCTGACAAAGGAGCAGCGCTCTGAAAGTTTGTGATTTCAAATAAACCTGTTGGACTATAACCTGGTGTCGTGTTGACTTCTGACTTTGTCCACCCCAGTCCAACACCAGCACCTCCACACTGTAGGCCTTGGCATGGCAAATGCAAATTTAGATACATCTTAAATGGTGTGAGGGTTTCTGCCTCTACCATCCTTTTAGGCAGTGAGTTCCAGATTCCCACCACCCTCTGGGTATAAAAGCTTGTCCTCATAACTCAAAGATGTGCAGGTTAGTTGGACTGGCCATGCTGAATTGCCTAAAGTGTCCAGGGATGTTCCAGTTAGGTGGATTAGCCATAGTAAATGCAGGGTTATGGGGATAGAGTAGGGGGTGGGTCTGGGAGGCATGCTTTTCAGAGGATCAGTGTGGACTCGATGGGCTGAACGGCCTGCTTCCACACTGTAGGGATTCTATGAATCTATGATCTCCTCTAAACTTCTGTCCCTTATCTTAAATCTTTGCTTCCTAATAATTGATCCCTCCATCAAGAGGAAAAATTTCTTTCTGCCTGTCTATGCCCTTCATAATTTTATACATCTCAATCATGTCCCCTCTCAATCTTCTCTGTTCTAAGGAAAACAACCCCAGTCTGTCCAATCTCTCTTCATAACTGAAACTCTCCAGCCCAGGCAACATCCTGATCAATCTCCTCCATACCCTCTCCAGTGCTATCACATCCCTGTTACAATGTGGATTCTAGAACTGTACACAATACTCTAGTTGTGGCCTTACCAATGCTTTATACAGCTCCAGCATAACCACCCTCTCTTAAATTATGTGTCTCAGCTAATAAAGGCAAGTATCTCAAATGGCTTCTTAACCACTTTATCCATCTGTCTTGATACCTTAAGGGACCAGTGGATATGCCACCAAGGTCCCTCTGATCCTCAGCGCTTCCCAGGGTCCTACCATTTATCGTGTACTCCTTTGCCTTGTTTGTCCTGCCCACGTGTATCACCTCCCACTTATCCAGATTAAGTTCCATTTAACACTAAACAGCCCATCTGACCAGCCTGTCTACTTTCTCTTCTAATCTAAGGCTATCCTCTTCATTATTTACCCCCCAGCAATTTTTGTATCATTACCTGGTTACTGATCAACCACTCTACATTCAAGTCTAGGTCATTTATATATATATACCACAAATTGGAAGGGCCCCAACACTGACCCCTGTGGACCCTCAATTGGACACAGGTTTCCAGTCACAAAAACACCCCTCAATCATCACCCTCTGCTTCCTGCCACTCAGCCAATTTTGGATCCAATTGGACATATTTCCTTGGATCCCATGGGCTGTTACTTTGCTATCAGTCTTCCATGTGGGACCTTATCAAAAACCTTGCTGAAGTCCAAGTAGACTTCAGAACCTCACAACCAGGATGCGTTAGGAATAGTCTCTGTCAGTACTTCCACGAGTGATGAATGCATTCTTTCCAAAATCTCTTTCTTTTTGTCTGTCTGTCAGATCATGATGCAGGCTCCATGGCTTACTGTCAACCCAACCTCAGAGGAAGTGCGGGTTAAGCACGACCTGGCAAACAGATTGAACTCTCTACGTTCTCAACAGCAAGCTGAAGTGCACTGTGTGGAGATGTGGCACAAGAAAGCTCTGACAGAGCTGGAAAAGAAACCAGAGAAGCAAAGAATCAAGAGAAAAGTAAATGTACAAAACAGAAGGAATAAGGATGATATTCGCTCCACTCATGCTCTATCAGGGTCTGTGAATGTACACACTGTTACAGTGACATCACCAATTAAAGCCGATAGCCCCGTTTCTAAAAGCCCTTTAACAGCTTGGGACAATTCCACTGGATATCACTGCCACTGGAGATGCACTGTTATTGGGGATATCACTGCCACTGGAGATGCACTGTCACTGGGGATATCACTATTGCTAAAGGGTTACTGTTAATAGTGTCATCACTGCCATGAAGGGTCATTGTTAATGTGGGTATCACTGCCAATGGAGGTGCTGTGTTAATGGGGATGTCAATGCCATTATCGATTACTGTTAAAGAGGCATCAGTATTAAGGGGAATATCACTGCCATAAAAGGTTACTGCTAATTTGGATATCACTGAAAATAGAAGTGTCACTTGTTAATGGTAATATCACTGGAGGCCACTCCTAATGGGGATATCGCTGTAACTGCGCCATCAGTGTTAAAGGGGATGTCAAGGTCCCCCATGTTAATGTGGATATTACTGCCAGTGGAGGGTCAGTGTTAATGGGGATATTACTGTCACTGGACATTGGGGGATGTCAGTGTTAATGGAAATGACTGGCACTGGGGTGGGTGGTCAGCGTTAATGAGGATATCACTGGCACTGGAGGGTGACTATTTGGAGATAATGTTACTGTGATTGGTAATGAGTCAGTGTTAATAGGGATCTCCCTGTCATTTGAGTGGGGCGGGGGGGGTGTGTGTCAGTGTTATTGGGGATCACTGTCACTGGAGAGTCTTTCCCAGTGAAACTGGTGACAAACAAATCTGATAGAAGTGTTCCTAATGATGAGACATTTTAAGCAGAGATAAGCAGATATATTTTTTACTGAAAGGAGGGCTGGTAACTGGAAAGTACAAATTTAAAATAATTGATAAAAGAAGTCTAGAGGGAAGACAATTGATTTGTTTTAAATGCAAGTTCTTCTGATTTGGGAAACAGTGCCTATAAACTTAGGAGCAGCTTCCCATTAACTTTCAAAATGGAGTTGAATGTTCACAGGAAAGTAGTTACCTACAGAAGAAAGAGTAGGAGGCAGGACTAATTAGACAGCTCCCTGAAAACACCAGCACAGACACAATGGGCCAAATAACCTCGTGAGCTGAATCACTTTAAGATGCTTCAGTTTAAACACTCCTCCAGGGCTCAATTTATTTTTCAGAGGCTATAGTTCATGTTTGCTTCACATGAAACCCATTTCCAAGATCTATTCAAGTGCATTGAGAAATCTTTTGTGCTGTCCTGTATTTATTCACTTACCCTGGATGAGCTGAACATTACTCACCGCACAGCACCCTGCCGCCCAGTCCCTGACTCTACTTTTCTGTTTAAACAGGACTGCTGTCCAAAGAAAGTCAAGGTGAAAGGGCCCAGGACCCCCAGTACGGTCCAGATCCCCTTCGACACGTCTACAGCAATGCCGCAGAATGTGGCACTGCGTTCATCTGCACAGGAGATCATCAAGGAGCAGGAGGAGAATGTGCGGCGTCGGCACCGAGCTGCAGTCAAAGACCTTTTCCTACCTTTTATTGAGCCTTTGCCTTGACACTGCGTGTGTGTTACTCTGTGCTTATCCAGCCTGCACGCAGTGCTGATATATGTCAGGATCTCTCTGAAGAGGAACAAACCCATATCTCAATCAAACAGAGACTGGGGACATCTCTCAGATTCCAGCATGTCACAGACACTGACATCAAATGATCTGACCATTTGAATAAATTTAGCAACTAATTCTACAACCTATAGTGGTCTCCCTCAATGACTGAATCAGTAGCATAGTAGATGTACAGGGTTGGAGTGGAGGCTGCCTGCTGCTTGGGTTATCAATGACTGGCAGAGTACTAATTGTGTGTACTATGTGGGATGGGACTCACACACAGGAGACTTGAATATTTGATTTGATTCGAAAAGTTTTGTTTTTCTTGCAGTACAAGCAGATCATAGCACACAAAGATCATAGGGTGATTGATCAGGGTGAGGAATACAAAGTGACAGCTGCAAAGAAGGTGCGCAAAAAGCACGATCAACATTAGATTTGAAATTAGAGAGTTTCATTTGGAAGTCTAATAACAGCAAGGAAGAAGCTGGTCTTGAACCTGTTGGTACATGCATTTAAGCTTTTGTATCTGCCCGATGGAAGAGGTTGGAAGAAATTATAATCAGGATGGGAAGGGTCTTTGATGATGTTGGCTGCCTTTCTGAAGCAGCGAAAAGCGTGGATGGAGTCAATGGATGAAAAGTTGGCTTGTGTGGCGGACTGGGCTGTGTTCACAATTACTGTCTTCCTCCCTGGAAAGACCTTGTGAACAAGGCTAGATTTTCCAGCCAGTGTGATCATAACCCTGTCATTGTGGATCATGCACACAAAGATTGGAAAATCAGGCAGAAATTAAATACACAAATATTCAGCTAATGAAGGACAGTGAGCAGTTAACTGAAGTTCTTTATTGTTCTGTTGATCAGGGAACTCACTGAGCAAGGATAATAGGGAGTATTCAGAGCTGGAGTTTTCACTGCTGCAGCCTAAATGCCTTCATGGGCTATTAGATCGAATGCAGCTCTCTCATTAACCTTTTCAGGAGAGTACAGGGTGAGTAGAGGATTGTGAAGCAGGTTTTCAAGTGGCAGACCTGGACTAACCACGTCTGTGTGTACAGTTCCAGTCACAGCTCCCCTGGGGAACCCTTACTACAGCTGGGCAGAAAGACTGATCTGGAGCAATGCAACTCAGTTGCACAAAAACCCTTCACTAAAGGAAGGATAATTTCAGGGATTCGACAATAGCAATCTAAGTGGATTGGAATCAAAAATTGGTTGGCAAATAGTAATGAGTAACAGGAACAATGGGATGCCTTCAAGTGAGGTGAGAGTTTGTGGCAACCAGGCACATTTCGAGAAGGAAGCACATTGAAAGTTAGAGCACCCTGGAAGATTAAAGACTTTGGAGAGCAGTTTCCACTCATCTGCACTTTGCTTGATATCAGACAAAGCATTATAAAAGATTGAGGAATTTCAAGCACCTACAAATTGAGTACCTACAATTTGCTGGTACATAGTTTAAAAATATCTCTTAGGAACCAGACCTGGGCCTCAGCATTGATCAGGATCCCCACCTATGTTAATTGTCATGTTGAGTTCCTGTTGTTTGTGCCTGAATTTACTGTTTGTGCCTCTTAAACTGAAGCTTGTTTATACAGGGGCAAAAGCACAAATAAACACCCTACAAATACCATTAGACAATTAAAATTACTTGGCTTACTCAGCTGACTTGTGGACAAAAATGAAACTAGCAACTGCTCTGTATAATTTTTTAAGGTAATTTTCAATTATTTCAAATCAGGCCATTCACAGTTGATGGACCAGACACTATAATTTAAAATTTGTATATTTTGTGATAAGCCCATATGCAGCTGTATTAATAAAACTGCACCAGGTTTGCCACTCTTACGTATATTAGGGAATAAATAAACAATTTATTTTAAAATCACTGCCCAATTGCGCTGGTTCATACACAATTACGTTTGTAGTTGTACAAACAATTTTGAAAAAAATCACTTCAGGAAACAAGTGCAATTATCAGTGGAATATACTGAATTTACACTCAGATTGTTGCTGCACCTGAAGCAGAAACTAACTCCAGACACTGGACTAACACAGAAATGAGAGATTGACTCATCATCAACATCACTGTTAATAGGGATCTTACTGCCATTGGAGAGTAACTTAATGGGGATCTCCTTGCCACTGGAGAGGGGTCACTATTAATGGGGATATCACTGTTAATGGGAATCTCACTGCCACTGGAGGGGGGTCACTGTTAGTGGGGATATCACTGTCCCTGGAAGGGTGTCACTGTTAATGGGGATATCACTGTCCCTGGAGGGGGGTCACTGTTAATGCGGATAACACTGTCCCTGGAAGGGGGTCACTGTTAATGGGGAGATCACTGCCACTGGAGGGGGGTCACTGTTAATGGGGATAACACTGTCCCTGGAGGAGTGTCACTGTTAATGG